TAATAGTGAATGCTGGGTTGGGAATGATACATGGAGATCAAAATCTCAGCTACATTAGTACATGAAAAGTATTCCCTAACCTCCAGATGCATGGCTTCTATGAATTGTCTTGGAGCACTGGGCTTATGCCTGAGCAAAACTTGGGCATGTTAATATCTCCTTGATAAAAATTTTGATTCCTATACTTTTTTTCTCAGTGAATCTGAAAGAAAAAAATACATCTCCAAATTTGATTGAATCACTTTGCTCAGTGTATCCAGCAACAGCAGCAGCAGTAACAGGGCTTAGCTACTAGCATCCTCTTTTTAGGAGTTAAAAAACTAGTTACGAATGTTATTGATGAGCTATTCAATATCAAGTATGCATTCTTTATGAAAGAAGTCTTATTATAACACTGAGCAGTTCTACTCAGATCTGCTAGTTACCATGGGGAACACACCTGCCAGAATAGGTCTTGGATCAGATTTAGCTGCATTTCTTACTTCATCACTAGTTGGCTCTTTTGAAGTTATAGGGCAGCCAACCACAAAAACAAATTCCGAAAATATCGATGCTAAACAGGTAGAAATGCAATCCAACTGTGTTCCATAAAATGATTCAAGGAACTAGACCTTTGATATCACAGCTCCAGCCTGTAGGTTCTCAGTCTTCCTCATCCACTTGTTAAAGTAAGAGAACATGGAGAAGGCCTGTTAGCTTATTAAATATCTTGACCTGGAATTGACACAGTCACCTGTATTCAGTTGCAAGAATAAAACAATAGATCTACCTAGTTTAAAAACAGAAGCTGAGAAATATAATCCCTGGTTGTATAGCTAATTCCTAGTGGCAACTCTACATTTGGAAAAGAGTACAGATTTTTGGTACATATTTAGCCATTTCACCAAAGTCTACAGCTTTAAAAATTAATTTCTATAATTCAGATACTAATTGAAAGAAATACTACCCCTGAAATAGATAGGTAATGAAGATTAATTAAGACAATATGCATAAAATAGTTGAGATTTGTGAATTCTCATTGTGGGGGACATGCTGTAATCATCCTTATTCATGGATTTGCCATATATAGATTATCTTTATCTGTTACCTCTCTTCAGAATGCTGTAGGATTTCTGTCCCATTCATTATGTTCTTTCCTACAAGAGTAGTTATACCAAATACTTCCTTTATATACCTAAGGACTCTGTCAGGAAAATAAAACAAAGCAAAACAAAAAACAGCTACTTTTCTGAGATTGAAAACAGCTCTTTTCAGCGAGTAGAAGTGTGGCTTCTGTTAGAGTAAGAGCAAAGGAATTCCAGCTCTGCCTTCATAAGGATGGCCAGAACCTCCTCTGTGCTGCTAACACCTGCAGCAATGGGAGATTGGAGCCAGTCACAATAATAATCCACTCTGAGCCACATTTCATCCAACATTTGACTTTTTAAGACTTGCTTCTGTGTTCCAAAATGCATGCTTGCTGTTAATAGGTGCTCTCTTGATTGTTGCATCTCATTTCATATTTGTAAACTATATTGCAGTATTTTAAAAATAATAAAATTATCAGAACTCTAGCAATGAATATTTCCAAAAGGTTACAGATAAGAGTGGCTTGCATAGAATTGAATATTCCCATCACACTATCAAAAGTAAATAGTAACTTTTAATTACTTTCCTGTCATAACAACTATTTTCCAGTTTTTAAGTGGAAGAACAAGCAACAATAATGTAATGTCTGTTGTCATTGTCTCTTAAAGATTATGTTGTCACATTAGTTTAACTTCAAAGTTTAGAAATGTTAGTGGTAGGCAGTTCTTTATCTTGAGTTATTAACATATCTCAGTTATTAAAATCTGGTTATTTTAGATTTCATTATTGAGATATAAACAAGAAATAGAGAAAAATGTCAAGTGTATCTCATTCTGATTATTTTTATAACTGTAAAGTTCCCTTAGTTTTGCTACAGAAACATTTATTTTAGTTCTTTCACATTTAGTCTTCAATAATTTTGTGGGAAAATTTTCAGGATAATGATGTTCTGGGGTCAAGAAAAGAAAAGAAGAAATTTAATTTGTTGATATACTTAAACATAAATATTTTAGACCTCATTAAATGAATGTGATACAATGAAAACGGTAAAGAAATCTGGGTAAAGAAACCAGATCTTTAGTCAAACGCCTACCAAGATGCGTGAGATCGTGAGTAAGATACCTGTAATTTGGAATTCTTGGTTTTCTTATCTTTAAAATGGGGATGAAAATTCACATTACCAATCGATTAAAAATTACATAAGCAAAAAAACCCTGCCATAAAACCAGTAATTTCTCAGAAAACTAGTACAATAGCTTTATCTGTGGAGGAGGCATTCCAATATCCTCAGTGGATGCCTGAAACTGTGATCCAAATCATATATAAACTATTTAGTTTTCATATACATGCATACCTATCATAAAGGATAATATCAATTAGTCATAGTAAGAGATTATAACAATAATCAGCTAGAACAATTTTAACAATATACTGTAATAAATTATCAGCATCACTACTCTTGTACTTTGGGACCATTAAGTAAAATATGTATTACTTGAATACAAGTCTATAGTACTAAAGTGGTTGATTTATAGCCAAGAAGGCTAGTAACAGAGAGGAGGCTAATATAGCACAGATGTTTTAGACAAAAGGGTGGTTCATGTCAAGATTGGGATAGAGCAGGGTGACACAAAGTTTCATGTGGCTACTCAGAACAGCCCCCAGTATAAACTTTTAAATTGGGGTGGGGGAGAGTGGGAGGGGAGGGGAGGGTTTCCATCTTCCTGTTCACTTCCCAAGTGCCCACAGTGGCTGGGACTGTCAGGCTGAAGCTGGAAGTTGGGAACTCAATTTGGTTCTCACACAAGAGTGGCAAAGATCCAAATCCTGGAGCTATCACCACTGTTTCCAGAGTCTGCATTAACAGGAAGCTGGTATCAAGAACTGGAGCCAAGACATTAACCCTAGTATTCCAATATAGGATGCAGGTGTCTTAACCACTGTGCCAAATGCCTGCCCCTATGAATTTTTTATTTAGGAATTCTCCAATGGATGATGTTAAAGCTCAGGTAATGAAGAGCAGAAACACAGATAAGAAACTACTATGTTCTTTTTAATCAAAAACACTTTCTTATCAAAAGTAGAATTGCTACAGGAAAAAGTAAAGCAGCATTCTGCTTTCTATAGAGGTAGTGCCCCCTTCCTTTTCAGGGTTATGTGTCACAGGCTGATTATGTCTACCATTATCCAAACTCCCCTAAACTAGTGAAATTCCTGATTTTTAGGTGGACTTGTAGATACTTCAAACATGATCAATTTTCCTAGCCTTCCTTTTAGCTGTTTGACCATGTGACTAAGTCTGACCAAAGGAATGTGTGAGGGAAACTGATGTGTGTAACTTCTGGGATACTTCCTGGAGTGTTATCATCACTTGAGGGGCTTGTTTAAAAAAAAAAAAAAAAAAAAAAAAAACAGATGGCTAATGTGAAGGTAGCATAATTTAGTGGGCTCAGCCACTATCCAAACACCTGGAATGGGATCCTGCCTCTGCTATGGATCCAGTATTCCTGCTAATGCACTCCCTGGGAGGCAGCAGATGACAGCTTAAGTCCTTGGACCCCTGCCACACACTTAGAAGACTTGGATGGAGTTCCTGGCTCCTGGTTTTAGCCTGCACCAGCCCTGGCAGTTCTAAGCATTTGCAGAATGAACCAACAACTGGAAGATGATTTTTTTCTGTCTCTCTCAGTTACTCTGCATTTCAAATAAATAAAAATAAATAAATAAACTTAAAAAATAAACAAATATCTGAGATTTAGCCCATAGCTACAGTTCATTTTGGGAGCAATTTAGGGGTTTGCCTTTTTTGTAATTAATATTTTAAAAAATGTATTTTGGGGCCAGCATTGTGGCATAATGGGATAAGCTACCACCTGCAGTGTCAGCATATCATATGGGTGCCGATTCCAGTCCTGGCTGCTCCACTTCCTATCCAGCTCTTTGCTAACTCACATGGGAAAACAGTAGAGGATGGCCCACTGCACCCAAATGAGAGGCTGGAAGAAGCTCCAGGCTTCAGCCTGGCCCAGCCTTGGTGTTGTAGCCATTTAAAGAATGAACCAGTGGTTGGAATCAATCAATCAATCTCTCTCTCTCTCTCTCTTTCTCTATGCCTTTCAAATAAATAAAATAAAATATTTCTTTAAGAATGTATTTGAAAGATGAAAAAGAGAGGGAGTCTCCTACATGCTTATCAGTTATAAATATTGTGGCCGTCTCCTGCCCCCTCACAGGTTGCATGTTAGCAGGAAGCTGCAATAAGAGTAGTGCTGGCGCTAGAACCCAGACACTCCAAATATGGGATGTCAGCGTACTAAGTGGCACCTTCAGTGCTGCTCCAAGCTTCTGCCCCAATAAATTTTCCTTTCTAACAGTTTCATAAGTGATGTTAATGCTTCTGGTTTAGGGACTGTAATTTGAGAAACTTTGTCTTGTGATCTTTTCTTCTACCCTAATGATAATGGATGTGATGATTCCTGAAGCATATGGAGCCATGAATCCAAGGGTCCATCCTAAGTAAGGCAGATAAGATGCAAAGGGCTCAAAACCTAATATGTAGATATTAAGACCTTTTGAGATAGGGTTTTAACTCAATAATACTGTTATTTCTAACTCTGATCCAACAAAGTGATTTTAAATGTATCTGAATATGTGGAAGAAAATAATTTGTAAAGTGTGTATGTATGCATGTAACTTATGGAGACGTAGTTGTATATTCAGTTTTTCATGGCAAAGGTAGATTTAGAGTAGCTTAAAAATGTAGTGTTGCAACATATATATTTTAAGTCTATGAGCATTTCATAGCAGTACATAAAATGTGTTCAAGAATAATGATTAATAGTGAGATTTACTAACTTTGTAAGTACTGAGAGAGTTTGACCTTCAACCTCATACATCATGATTTTTCTAAACCACTGAATATAACCCAGAACAATATAAACTTATTGATTATGGTGAGCGGGGCATTTAAATTATTAGTGAAGCATGCAAAATTAAAGTCAATATATTCAAAAATTTCTTATTGAAAGCTAAGATCCTTGGAACATTCTGGCCTCTTTTACTTGATTTATTATTCTTTAAGGTTTGATATTGAGCAGTAGCTTTCATAATAAAAATGTCAATTTTTATTGAAAACAAACTGATAAGTCCTGAATAGGGCATAAGGGATATGACATAGGCTTTAGATTTTTGTATTCAAATTTAGACTTCTTTTGAGAAAAACATAAGTCAAAGAGTTTGTTACTTGTTAATGAACATTCCAGAATTTAAGTAACTCACAGTTAAATGCCACATTTCCCAAGATTTTTCTTCATTGCAGTCCCCTGAGAATATCTACAGTCAAAAGCAATCTAAATAAAATTCAAATTCAACATTTAAATTGAGAATACTCAGATTCCAAATTCCAATTCTTTTTTTTTTTTTCTTGGAAGAAAATCACTTTATTCCACTCATGAACAATAACATTACAACAGCTTGTTCAAGAGACCAAGCATCTGTCCAGCCCCAAATTCAGTATCATCTCAATGAATTTCCACACAGCAAAGATGGCCTTTCTGGACTAGGGAAGCTCTTCAAATGAGATGACAGGCTGACCAGGCGGCTTTACACTACCAATTACATCTGTATGCTAAAGTAACTTGGTCATGAGATCCAATTTTCTGCTTCATCCTGAGCTTCTTGATTAGACTAACTGGTTTGGAATTCTGCACTGTCTCAGGACTTCATTGTAACCCTCAAAGAGCTTAACGTCACTCTGGTTCTGGGCACACTCCAGAAACTGCTTTATCTCGTAGGAGCAAGGGCCAAACTGCTGCTGCTGTGCTAACTGGGCTCCCTGGGGCTCCTGGTAAGTGATGTCGGGCCTCGAGGGCTCAGCACTGCTTCCTCGACTGAAGCCCCCAGTGATGGTGTGGCCCAGCGTGTGCCCAATAGCAGAGCCCACGGCCATGCCAGCTGCAGTGGTGGCCATCTGGGCCATCAGGCCTGGCTGTCGGCGTGCCACGGCGGGCGAGCCGACTGCAGATGGTGTGGCTGCTGCTGGCGGCTGAGCTGCTGGCGGCTGAGCTGCTGGCGCTGGCCTCGGGGCAGCTCTCATCTGAGGAGCCCGGCTGGCCAGAGGGGACATGTGGGAGGTACGGCTGCGGCTTCCACGCGGCATCTTCACGGCCAAGCTACTCGGTGTCTCTGAGGGTGAAACTCTGCCAAGAGCTCAAGTGCTTCAGTGAAGAAGGTCCAAATTCAAATTCTAAATTCAAATATCCAAATTAATATTCTAAGTTTGGTGTTATCCCACTAATGTTTCTTTTTAAAACAAAAATGTTTTGATATGAAAAGAAAAAGAAAATAGAGCTTAAAAACCCAAAATATTTTTTAAAATATAAGTTTTGGGTATTTGCAGTTATGTATGTATTCTGCAAAGAATATTAGGTTATCTTCAAAAATGACATATACAATAAAGCTTTAATAAAAGAAGAAAATGTATACAAGGAAAACATAAAAGGTGTACAATTTGTTAAAAAATGATGTAAAAGTAGCAAAACTAGAAATAGCACATTTTATCTGAACTGTGGTAATTTATATATAGTGTATAAAAAGAAAAACCATATTATATGTGAGAGAAATTGATATCTTGGAACTTGATTATTGTTCATAGTCATTGTCTGTATGCCTGTTGAACAGTGGTGTTTCTACTTTTAATTTGTTGATCTCTTTATTTAGTAGAACATTAAGTCCTTGATTATATGGAAAATTAAGTGTTATTATAAAAGTTAAAAAATTACAAAAGAAGAGGAAGGAGGGAAGTTTCACTATATTCTTAGATGGTATTTATGAACTACTTGCAATCTGTTCTGTTTATATTAATAAAAAATTTAAATAACTTATCTGTCAAGATTGACATCATTGCCAAATTTTTCTTCCTCTCAATACAAACATAGCAGTTACATAATAATTGTTACTTTTTTCAGAAGGAAGGAGATTCATCAGCCCTTTCATTTAAAATTGTTTTTAATTTAAGATGTAAGGGGGGGTGAGTATTTGCTCCTCGTTGCTTGGATACCCACATACTGGATCAGAGTGCTTGGATCAAAGACCTACCTCTGCTCTCCATTCTGCTTACCTGCTAAATGTGCAGTCTGTGACACAGCAAATGATGACTTAAGTAACTAAGTTCCTGTCAGTGAGATAGTAGACCTGTGGTGAGTCCCTTGCTCCTGGTTTCAGCCTGAACCAGCCCCAGCTATTGTGGGCATTTGGACAATGAACTGATTATTGGGAAATCTCAATATCTATCTCATTCCCTCTCTCTGTCTCTTGATCTCTCTCTCTCTCTCTCTCTTTCTGTGTCTCTCCTGCCCTTCTGCCTTTCAAAGAAGTAAAATCATTATAGGTTTTTAAAAAGCAAATAAATTGAAGAGCATATATAACTAACATACCCAAAAAGAGGCTTTCAAAAAGGTAACGGTTATTAAATTACATCTGTGGACGTGAATAGTACTGTGGATATGAATAATACCATAGTTGATGCCGCATTTCTGTTCCTGTCAAGTTGAAATTTTCAAAAAAGTAGAATAAAATAAAGTGTTTTTAGGAATGTGAATGTGGAAAACTCAAGTCATGAGAAAAAGGGACAATAACAACACTATCGTAGTGCTTACTTTATACAGAACAGTCTTCTAATTGCTTAATATAGTAGAACTAATATAGTTCTCACTACACCTTTTTATTTATTTTTATTTAGTAAATATAAATTTCCAAAGTATAGTTTATGGATTAGAATGGCTTTCCCCCTCCATAATTTCCCTCCCACTTGCACCCCTCCCATCTCCCGCTCCCTCTCCCATTCCATTCACATCAAGATTCATTTTCAATTATCTTTATATACAGATGATCGATTTAGTATATATTAAGTAAAGATTTCATCAGTTTGCACCCACACAGATAAAATACTGTTTCAGTACTAGTTATAGCATTACTTCGCATTGGACAACACATTAAGAACAGATCCCACATGAGAAGTAAGTACACAGTGACTCCTGTTGTTGACTTAACAGTTTGACACTCTTGTTTATGCTGTCACTAATCTCCCTAGACTCTAGTCATGAGTTGCCAAGGCTATGGAAACCTTTTGAGTTCTCCGACTTCGATCTTATTCCAACAGGGTCATAGTCAAAGTGGAAGTTCTCTCCTCCCTTCAGAGAAAGGTACCTCCTTCTTTGATGGCCCCATTCTTTCCACTGGGATCTCATTCGCAGAGATCTTTCATTTAGGTTTTTTTGTTTGTTTGTTTGTTTTTCCCCCAGAGTGTCTTGGCTTTCCATGCCTAAAATACTCTCATGGGCTCTTCAGCCATATCCGAATGCCTTAAGGGCTGATTCTGAGGCCACAGTGCTATTTAGGACATCTGCCATTCTATGAGTCTGCTGGTCACCACACCTTTTTAAGGTGGTTCGTATAATGCCCTAATTTTTGAATAAGGAGATTGCAGCACCGGAGATCAATATCACCTAGATAGCAAGTATCTGAAGCAAGGATTGAAATACCTCTGGTTCCTCAGTACATGCCATAAGTATACCATAATTATACTTTTATTCTACACTGCTAAAATATCTAAACAATTCAGTTTTCTTATTGGATCTGATTATTTCAAATTATTTGGAAATTATCTCATTTCTAGAACTGTTAAATGTAATAAGCTTAGCTTGCGCTTTAACTTTTTTTAAATATTTGTTTATTTTAAAGGCAGAATTACAGAAAGACACATACAGAGAAAGAGAGAGAGAGAGAGATTCCTTCCGCTAGTTCACTCCCTAATTGGTGACAACAGCCGGAGCTGGGCCAATCTGAAGCCAGGAGCCAGGAGCCTCTTCCAGGGGCCCAAGGACTTGGTCCATCTTCCACTGCTCTTCCAGGCCACAACAGACAGATGGATCGTAAGTGGAGCGGCCAGGTCTCAAACCAGTGCCCATATCAGTTGCCAGCACTGCAGACTACAGCTTTATCAGCTATGCCACAGTACCAGCCCCTGCAATTTAACTTTTGACTTGTAGTATTAGTTAAATCTCGTTGCTTTTCTACATGATTTTTAAATTTTTTTTTCCATTTTTATTTATATAAGGTAAACAAATTTCATGTATTTCTTGTATACATATTTAGGAGCATAGTGATACTTCCCACTCTAACATCCCTCCCACCACTCTCCCACTCTCTCTCCTCCTTCCTTTCTTATTCCTTCTTTTTTATAGATTACTTTTCATTTATTTGAAAGAGTTACAAATGGAAGTGGAGACAGAGAGAGAGAGAGAGGTGTTCCATCCACTAGTTCACTCCGTAAATGGCTGCAATGGCTGGAGCTGAGCTGGTCTGAAGCTTGGAGCCAGGAGCTTCTTCCAGGTCTCCAATGTGGGTGCAGGGGCCCAAAGATTTCTTATTCTTTTAATTTTTCCAATGCATTCATTCAGTTTATTTTATACTCAAAAGTTTAACCCTCCACTAAGTAAATAATTCAACAATTAGGGACAATAATAAACACTATTCCTCAATAGAAGAGACATGGGCTGTAAGCAATAATCAAATCTCAATTTTGCTCATATATATTATGTGTTTTGCTTTTATTAATTAACACTAATCAGAGAAATTCATGATATTTATATTTTTGGGGACTGTCACATTTCACTAAGTATAGTTATTTCTAGGTGTATCCATTTTATTGCAAAAGATAGGAATTCATTCTTTTTCATGGCTGAGTAGTATTCTGTGGAATGTATATACCATGATTTCTTTATCCACTTATCAGCTAATGAGCATTTGAGTTGATTGCATATCTTAGCTATTGTGAATTGAACTACAGTAAACATGGAGTTATAGATAACTCTTTACTATATTGATTTTATTTACTTTGGGTAAACTCCCAGGAGTGGGATGGCTAGATCATGTGATTATATCTATTAGCAGGTTTCTGAGAGAACTTTATATTTTCTACCACAATGGCTATACTAGTTTGCTCTCCTACCAACAGTGGATTAGGTACCTTTTTTGCTACATCATCACTAGCACTTATTGCTTTTTGATTTTTGTGAGTCATTCTTACTGTGGGAAGGTGAAACTTCATTGTGGTTTTGATTTGCATTTCCCTGATAGCTAGTGATCCTGAACATTTTTCTATCTGTATGTTGGCCATTTGAATTTTATTTTTGAAGAAAGACCTGATCAAGCCCTTTGCCCAGTTCTTTATTGAAGTTTTTTGTTGTTGTTGAGTTTCTTAAGCTCTTTATAAATTCTGGATATTAATTTTTTATTAGTTTCATAGTTTGAAAATAATTTTTTCTCATTGAATCAGTTGCCTCTTCACTTTGTGAGTGTTCCATTGGCAGTGCAGAAGCTTCATAGCTTGATATAATCCCATTTTTCTATTTTTGATTTGATTGCCTGTGCTTCTGGGGTCTTTTCTAAGAAGTCTTTGCCAATGCCAATGCTGTGCAGAGTTTCCCCAATGTTATCCTCTAGTAATTTGATGTTATCAGGTCATAGATTTAGATCCTTGATCCATTTTGAGTTGATTTTTGTGTAAGGTATAAGAGAGGGGTCAGGTTTCACACTTCAGCATGCAATGATCCAATTTTCCTAGCATAGTTTGTTGAAGAGATTGTCCTCTCTTTGGGATTGATTTTAGCTCCTCTGGCAAAGATTTGATGTGTAGATTGATTTCTGGGGTTTCTATTCTGTTCCATTGGTTTACATGTCCATTTTTGAAGCAAGTGTCAGGCTGTTTTTGTGATAACTGCCCTGTAGGATACCTTAAAAACTGGTATTGTGATGCCTCCAATTTTGTTTTTGTTGCTTATAATTGCTTTAGGTATTTGGGATCTTTTGTGTTTCCATATGAATTTTAGCATTGTTTTTTATAGATATGAAAGGCATGCCCTTGGTATTTTTATTGGGATCACATAGAATCTGTAAACTGCTTTTGGTAGTATGGGCCTTTTGATAATATTAATTCTTCTAATCCATGAACTTGGATGGTTTTTTCCATTTTTATTGTCTTCTATTTCTTTCCTTAATGTTTTATAATGTTCATTGTAGCGATCTTCCACCTCCTTGGTTAAATTTATTCCAAGATACCTAAAATTTTTGTAGTTATCATGAATGTCATTAATGTTAGAAGTTCTTCTGGGAGGAATTAAGATGGTAGAATAGGAGGGAGCTTACTGCTCTAGTCTAAGAGAAGATAGTTTTAAAAGAGTGGAGAGAATGCAGTCTCAGGAAAGAGTTAGGGAAAATGGCAGAGAAAACTGCGTACAAATTAAAGGGACATTGTGGACCTATGTGGAAGGTGTAGACACTCACAACTCAAAAACCCAGCAGCTGAGAACCTCAGCACCAGCTCTGGAGTGAGGTGAGACCAGTCTGCAGCAGCCCAAGCCACTGGCGACAAAGCTGTGGTAAGAGTCTGGAGGGAATCCTGCTTAGAGCCCTGTGGGGGACAGTATACCAGCTAAACTAGAGGAGAAAAAGGAGGTGCTCATTTCTCTCTCCCCAACCACCCTGCAACCAGTGTCCTGTAATAAGCCAGTAGACGACAGGCACCATTTTTGATGTACTAACAGCTTCAGCAGCTCATGTCCATGGGCCAGCAACCAGCCAAGCAGAGATGCCCGGGTCTGACTGGGAGAACTGGCAGGGGGTTGAGTGCTCCTGACTGTGGGAGGTTTGAATACATGGACTGCAAAAACACTGTGGCTGTGTGAGAGGGCTCAGTGTGAGGCTGGGACTTTGGGCATCCACCGTGGGAGGCTCCATACAATCAGGGCTCCCTAATATTTCTGGTGAAGGTCATTGCTACAGAATATGTGCCTACACTGATGACCACACAGATCCTTTGTGTGGTTCTTGTGGCAGTAGAGATGAATATTATACCCACTTGGGCTAGTGCACAGGCACTGGTCTCCTTTGAGGAGAGGAGGTGAGCTGAGACTATGCCAACAGAGTTAAACAAACCTCCCCTCTGGAAAAAAAAAGTGATTTACCACTCCCAAACTGGTTGTCACCTTGGATACTCCCTTCACCCAGGAGCATTGAACAGGACTCCCAGGCTATGCCTACCACACACCTCTAGATATTTGCTGAAAAAGCAGACACTCCACTAATCCACAAAGGCATAGTCCAAAGATTAAAGCCATCACAGGAAAATAAGAAAGAAATCAACTATTATCTCCATAAATATTGAGTAATAAATGTAGCAATTCAAGAAACAAGAATAAAGACAACATGACAAGCACAAAATAACACAACCCTTCAGTATTGGAATGTAAATATGAAGAGACTGAAGAAATGCCAGAAATGGAATTCAAAAAAATTGATCATAGGATTACTTAAAAGTAATCAGAAACAAATCCATGAACTAATGAAATCTGTACATGACATGAAAGAAAATTTCTCCCATGAAATTGACATTTTAAAGAGAAATCAAAATGAAATATTGGACATGAAGAG